TTCCTTCAAAAATGAAGCTTCGAAACTCAAAAACCAAACTTTTCTGCGAGACTTCCTTCAAAAATGAAGCTGCGAAACTCAAAAACCAAACTTTTCTGCGAGACTTCCTTCAAAAATGCAGCTGCGAAACTCAAAAACGAAGCTTTTCTGCGAGACTTCCTTCAAAAATGATACTTCAGGCACGAATAGGGTCACAGGCGACCACAAAGGGGACGCACCATTTTTGTGTGACAGGTGTGGGACTCCAAGCACACTTGGTCACGTGTGACCCTATCTTTTTTATTTCAAAACGTAGAAACAGTGAATAGGGTCACAAGCGACCAATGTCCCAGCTCGGCCTTGAACCCATTGACCAACACATCAGTCGTAAGGTGACAACCTTATTCTTCGGGAGTTTTTGATCGTGGTCAATCATTAAACATGCATCATATGGTACAACTTGTTTCTGCAACTGGTACGGGTCGAAGGATGGTCTATTGCTCATTTGATCTATGAAACTCACATGTTGCTTGCACGATCGTCAAGTTGATGAGGTTCATGAGTTTTTTTTAAACATATTTTGACTGCTGGTGCTTGGACATCCTGATGGAAACAGTTTTTCACACCAAACAGATCGATGTTAACCCCAGCATGTTGCCAATCAAACCTAAGTATCAAGCCAACCTTGTTCTCTCCCAGCTTGCTACTTTGTGGGACATCGGTTTCACCTTCGAGTTTTTCGGCTCATCATCCTGTGGGGCTTGACCAGCTCCACTCCCAGAGTGCCTTTGAGCTTTGCCATCTGTGGTCCCAAAGCATGCCCAGGACCTTAGGGAGACCACATTCATACTTGGTGACATTGAAATCGATCCAAACAACATAAAACTCGGTTTTCTGGCCGGTTGTTTTGTTAGTCTTGGAGGGTCTTGTTTTTTGTTTTTTTGGTCACCTGGTTTTGTCATGTTTTTTTCATGATGGTTTATTCCCCACCTGCCAGGTGAGGGTTGTTAGATTTTATCACAGTTGTTCTCCTCAGCTAGCTATCCTCCTCCTGCTCCTCCTGCTCCTCCTGCTCCTCCTCCGCCAGCATCTCCTCCACCACGTCTGCCTCCACTAACACGTCCACTGTTGCCTTGCCAACCCTTCGCCAAGCTCCTCGCCAACGTCCGAGCTCAGTGTGCACCGCTGGACCTCAACCTGGGGCGTTCCCAGCTCAGTGTGCACCGCTGGACCTCAACCTGGGACCTGCACAGCTCAGTGTGCACCGTTGGACCTCAACGGCCAGATAGAATGCCAGAAGAGATGCTAGATAGAATGCCAGAAGATATGCCAGATAAAACGCCATGAGATATGCCAGATAGAGTGCCAGAAGATATGCCAGATAGAATGTTAGAAGATATGCCAGATAGAATGCCAGATAGAATACCAGAAGGTATGCCAGATAGAATACCAGAAGGTATGCCAGATAGAATGTCAGAAAGAATGCCAGAAGGTATGCCAGATAAAGTGCCAGAATGTTTGCCAGATAGAATGCCAGAAGATTTGCCAGATAGAATGCCAGATAGAATGCCAGAAGGTATGCCAGAAGGTATGCCAGATAGAGTGCCAGAAGATATGTCAGAACATATTGCAGAAGATATGCCAGGTAGAATGCCATAAGATATGCCAGATAAAATGCCAGAAGATATGTCAGAAGATATGTCAGATAGAATGGCCGAAGATTTGCCAGTAACAAAACGTATAAATGTCATGATGGGGATAACTCGAAGTAAAGTAATTTTTTTGGGGGTGTGGATGGGAGGCAACAGCCACAGAAAGGAGGTTGTGGGGGACGTGCATCCAAGATCGGAGAAGAATGCTGCCCCCATTCGATGATAGGTGCTCCGTGTAGTCCTTCTGAAATATCTCATTGGCATCCGGTGTGCCGTACATGCTTCTCATCAACTTCCCGGCATGGGTTCAGTGTCACCTGGAAGATGTTCGTCCTCAGGTGGTGGTTCCACAATGTTCCACAAACAAATCCTCTTGCGCTTTGCCCATGACATGGTCTCTGCCATGCCCCATGAGACCAGCAGCTTCTTCTTGTTCTTTTTGCCCTTGTCCTTGGTCATGAAAGCGTTCATCAGGCTGTAGGCGCTCTCAATGGGCGGTGGCATGTTTCACCTCTTTGGCGACTATGCGACTCTTCATTATTGCTATCACCCTTGCTTACATCTACCCACTCCAGCTTCAGCGGGGTCCCTTCGCATTCAGGGGCAGAAGCTCGGACGTAGACTCCTTCTTGGTAGATTCGCTTCAGCTCCTCCTCTCTCGCAGCTTTGACCAAACTTGGGTCTAGCTTTGCACCAGATGTGTCGTCGAAGAGCTGCTCCATCTGCCGACCCCCCTCCACATTTTATCTGCCTCCAACCATTTCCTCCACGTTGCTGATGTCATGGCAGCTGACGCTTAAGGACTCTTGAAAATTGCCTCGGAGCTCCTTTGCATACACCTGGGCAGCTTTTCCCGTCCACCATCAATGAGGTGGATATGTCGATGGGGTTCTGCTCCTGGAATATGGTTTTGACAGATCCCTGCAGCTCCTTTGCAATTTCTTCTGCATTCGTCATCCAAATTGTTTCCTTGCTCACATGGCCCCACCAGCCATCATCTCCTTGAAACATCATGTTGAATCTGCACATCGGGTTGTTGACCATTGCCACGGACCTCCAGCAACCACTTCCTGGTCTTTCGGATACTTGATCAATTTATTGACGACAAGCTATGGATCTTCTCAATCACAGTCTCCCCCCACAATCTGCCGTTTGAAGTTGCTCAACCGCCCGCGGTTGCTCCATTGCAGTCAGATCTTGAACTCCTCCAGATCGTTTGCTAACGACTTCGCGGCACGTCGTAGCCACCTGGCACAACATGCATCAGTGCTAGGGTATACCGTGACAAGGTGGTTGGTGTGTGTGTGTGTTGCATGTGTCCAACAATGTTGTGTGCGGGTGTTATGTGTGTGTGTGACCATGTGCGCATATGCGACAGTGTTGTGTGAGTGTGTGTTTGTGCGTGTCAGAAAATGTGCTTGTGTGGTAACGTTGTTTGTGAGAACTGTTGCGGCTTAGAGTGTTGTGTAATGATTCCGTTTGTGAAAATGTTTGACAATGTTGTGCCACGCCTGCCTCTCAAAAGCGACTCCAGCAGGACATGCCGCACCTACCACGCAAAAGCAGCCGGCGCCACGACGTCAGATCCAGACCAAGACGGTCCACCCCAGCCAGCCAAACAAAAACCGTTTCAACAGCAGGACAGCTTGCTCCAGTGAAAACATTTGCAGATTTCCTGCCCTACTGTGCTGTTGTCCTGATGTCCTGATCTAGTTACTGGTCTTCTGTCCTTCTGATGTTCTGTCCTTCAGAACGGGTCATCTATTGACCTCGTATCCTACTGAACAATGCCTTTGAGTCTGCTGATATGGTTTTCTTCTGATCTATGATCTGCCGATGTGCTGATCTCCTGTCCCACTGATCTTGTGATGTGCTGATCTACTGTCCGAACCGTGCGTCACCCGGACAGTCACTACTTAAGTTTCATTAAACCAATAACGAAAAATGAAGACTTTGCTCAATATTGCCAAAAAATGGGGGACATAACAATGTGTGTGTGTGTGTCGTTTCTATTGGTGGTCAAATGATGGCGCAAGCAGTGGGGTGGAATGGTTTATATAGGGGGTGTCGTGGTAGGTAGGAAAGTAGGTTTATGTGGTTTTGAAACTATGTGATGGTGAGCTGGGGTTGTCCATTAGTTTTTTGTTTGGCCAACCATATATGCAGTGACTGTCAGTAGTAAATGCGTTTGTCAAGCGTCATTGCGTACGACCGTTCACATGTGGGTTCCAAGAACTTGTTGTGGATCATTCGATCGACATGGAACGCAATTTAATGACCCTCTTCGGTGAACCTTTCCAGCCAAATTACCTGACACGTTCATTTTTGTTTAACGAAATGTGTTCTTTACGTTAATTGTTCAGTGGCTCATGCGTTTGGAGTGTGCCTTTGGGAGCATACTGGAGCAAAAAAACCGAACTGCGGGTCATGATTACGTATATTGAATCTGGTGGCAGTTCTACAACATGTCATCATTGACCATTCAGCACGATGTCGTGTCAGGCTGAAATTCCAGATGATGCTGGAAGCGGGTCCGGGCAGGAAACGATGGGCCAGGCAGGCAACGAAAGAGGGCAATTCCTCACGCCAGAGGAACAAGCGCCGCTTGTGGCAATGCCAGAGTGCTTGGTGAACGAGATCGGGTTTCGTGCCAAGCTCGACTATGGTGAATGGGTCCTTCGGTTTTTTGAACGGTACACCATGCAGACTTCAAGGGACTGCAAGTTTGAAACCCACCCTGTGACTGTGACAGGTCCAGGGTTTGGGGGGATGACCATGTACTGTACGTGTCCACGCTTGTCACTCCATCCCTGTACAATTGGAGGTTTCAATGGAGTAAAGTGCAACCCACAATGAAGACCGCAGAACTCTCTGCTTGCGAAACGTTTTACCACGACCCGAGAGCGGTCGAGATTCTGAGGAAAGTGCCACCAGCTGCCAAGAAAGTCCGCAGGTGGGTAAATGTTCAAATGGCAGGGAAGAAGAAAGGCTGGGCAGAACGTGGCATGAGTTGCCGCCTCGTCAAAGAGGAGGCGAAACAAGCTCTCTTTGAGCAATTTCGTGCCATGGGTTGCAGAAGTGCCCTTTGGGATGGTAATCTTTAGCCATGCAACAGCAGGATGCGAGACACTGCAAAAGCAGCAAGTCTTTGCTGTAGGTGTTTTTTGGTGCTTTTGTAGGGTAGGATGCTGGCCAGGACATGCCAGGACCCTCGCAGATGCTTCGACAAAGGAAAAAAATGTAACCGGATATATTTGTGGCTCACCAAAGCATAACTTTCAATCGCATCGAGTAGGCCTTAGGATTTCCTTCGATTGCTTCGAAGATTCCCCGGAATGCACCGTTCCAACTCCACTGATTTCGCCCCAGGCGGTCGTTGCTACAAGAGAAAGCGCAATTCCAGGCCGATGAAAATTCGTGGCAAGTAGCTTCAAGTAGATCCAAGTCTGACCGGTCTCACCGTTCTCAGATATCAATGGAAACAAAACAATAACACATCCAGAGACTCATTGGATTGGTTTATGCCAACCTTGACAGATTCCAAGAGATGTGTGAATGCTGCCAGGACTTGTTTGCTCAGGCGGGGGTGAGACCATTTGCACATGGGATGCACTTCGGATGTGTCTTCTGATTTGCTTTAAACCATGATAAACCCTGGTAAACCCAACAAAAGCCACCACTTTCTAATTCTAATACCTTCAAAATTGGTAAAATGATGTAAACTGGGCCAAGTAGAGGATGGTTTAGTATTGGGTGTGCCGCATTACCAATTTCATATTGCTCAGGCTTTCTCCGGATAGCATGGAGCCAAAGTACTGGGAACAGGCTGCTGGATTGAACATCCGCAGCGGCGACCAACGCATGGAAAATCGGCGTTGCAGGTATTTTTGGATGGCTGGATTGAACAGGAAGATTGGGTGCGAGGTTGTCATTGCTACTTTGCAAGAGAGAGAGAGAGAGCTTGAAAGAGGACAGCATGGCACACCTGAAGCATATTGTGAAGCCGGAGGAGTTTTGAAGGAGTTGGTTCTGAAAATCATGGCATGGATTGGTGTGGCCGTCACAACCAAGGCATGGCACAGAGAAAGAACAGCACGAAGGGATCAAACGGTAGCCAATCATTATCATCGCTGATCATTCGCAGATCAGAACGGTCTTGGAGATGAGATTTTCTTGTCAGCTTCAAAGTCATTACAAGAATCATCGAGAAACCCATTGTGAGTTTTTGTCTCAGCAAAAAATCCCAACTTGAAGAATCTCAACGAAAACAACACGATGTGAAACAAATTGCATCTTCCGGGGTCATTCTCATAGCAGCGCAAGCCGCGTTCGACATGGCACAAGGCAGAATCCTTGTGCTTTTTACTTCCATAACACTCAGCATTGTGCCGCTATGCTTGATATTGGTTTAGTGGGTTTACAGTCACAACTTTAAGAAATGGGAATTCAGAGCAGCTTGGGCTTGTGGTACGGCAATGACTTTCATGCTCTGTCATCATTCTGTTCCTGTATTGTTTTGAAATGCAGTTGAAATGCGCATGCTTTTTCTGTTGAAGTTCTTTGCAGATGGCTGGGCAGTCTTTAGCCAGCAGCCCAGTGCATTCAGTGAAGAGCTGTCAGCAATTTCACCAGATTGAAATATCCTGAAGTATCTTGTAATGGCAGTATAGTGCCGTATTCCCTGCATCTCATTGTGTTCATCAGCAAGCTGCGCCAGGACTCCTACCCAGGCCATGGAGATAGCACGGTGAAGTCGAAAAACGCCGAAAGTGCCACGGCAATAAATTCACGTGGCCAGGCTCCCAGCCAACGCTTCTTCACTACGGGTCGCGCATTGGCGTCAGGCAAGGCTTGGAACGTCCCAGAATCCCAAGCAATCGCAGAGAATCACAGAGTCACAGAGGACTGGACAGATTGAATCGGAATTGGACTGAATCTCAGACACTCAGCGACTCCGCTGTACCTGCAGGTCATGTGCCGAACAGCGATACATTGCAGCCTTCTGGGGAGAAGGTTCTAAAACCCTGGGATCAAACTGTCCTAGGATGGCAGTCAAACCCTAAATGTATCATCATTTTTCTGACAAAAATTGGATGAGCAAGTTTCTTCGAACTATGCCTGTAATGAACAGGGGCTATAACTTGCTATAACTTGTATAGCAGGCGACTTCTCAGTGGAGGCGTGGCAGCTCAGATGGCCAATTTGGAGCCTATCGGTCAAAATGATCAACTCCTCGAACCGATCAGTTTTGATGTTCAGGAATTCTTGATAATAACAATCATGAATATGCATTTGAACTAAGTATAATGGATCACAATCATAGTTTATGACTATTATGAATCATAGTGATGATGACAGATGATTTCATACTACATACGATCCGTTCTGAAAGTCCACTATGAACCATTGCATTGTTACCCAATCTTGACCCAGACCCAGAAGGAAACAAGAGCCAGGACGACAGCGGATACCATCAACAAACCTTGACACTTTGCTGAGGTGTCCGGCTTTCATCCGTTGCGTCAGGAGTCCAGATGCAGACTAAGTCGAATGATGCATTGACCCAAAATTATTTAACAGCCTTCGGCATTCCACCAGCCCTCTGGCCTTTGGCCTACAGGCCAGCAGGGATTGTGTAAAGCTGGTTGGTGTAAAAGGTGGTTTGCATAAAAGGTGGTTTGTCTAAAAGTTGGTTTGTGTAAAAGCTAGTTTGTGTAAAAAGCTGGTCTGTGTAAAGGCTGGTTTGTAAAGATTGGTTGGTGCAAAACATGGTTTGTGTAAAAGCTGGTTGGTCGAAAAGTTGGTTTGCGTAGAAGCTGGTGCGTGTAAAGGCTTGTTTGTGTAAGAGCTGGTTGGTGTAAAAGGTGGTTTGTGGAAAGCGAGTTTGTGTAAAGGCGGGTTTGTGCAAAAGGTGGTTGGTTTTAAAGCAGGTTTCCGCAAAAAGTGCTTGGTGTAAAAGACTGTTTGTGTAAAATCTGGCTGGTGTAAAAGTTGATTTGCGCAGAAGCTGGCGTATGTAAGACCTTGGAGATTGAACAGAAAGGAGTCAGATGCGAGCGGCATGGCTGTGAGAGTGCATACGGAGTAGGCCGTGAGCGCAGAGTGGCAGGGGTTTATGGAAAGTGTTGGGCACAAAAGCGGCAGGTTAAAATGTACTTCTGACGCACATCAGGGGCGAGAACCGGCTGTAAAACGCAGGGAAAAAGTTAAAACATGCTCCCTCCCAGGGGCAAGCCGGAACAAGAAGTTTAACCTGATGATGATGATGATGATGATGATGGTGATTATGATGATTGATGAATGATGATGATTATGATGATCATGATGATGATGGTGATGATTGATGATTGATGATTGATGATTGATGATTGATGATTGATGATTGATGATTGATGATTGATGATTGATGATTGATGATGATGATGATGATGATGATGATGGGGACGATGGGGACGATGACCACCGAGACAATGGTGATGTAAATAAGGTCAGTGCTAGTTAGCATAGTTAGCTTGAGAAAAGAAACGAGACGAGACGAGACAACACGAGACTATACTACACTATACTACACTATACTAGACTATACTAAGACTAGAGTATGCTAAACTAGACTATACTGGACTGACTATCTAGACTATATTAGACTAGACTATACTAGGCTATATTGGACTATAGTGTATACGTGGAGGGGAGGGTGGAGGGGGGAAGGGGGGAAGGGGGGGTAGGGCAGCGAAAACAAAAAACCGTATGGCAACGCAAAGCAAAAATCTGTCGAAGGATCAATTATAGGTGAAGCTAAAGCTATCGCAAGATGTATCACAAAGCAAAAAACAAAACACGCCGGCAGGCCGGCGGATTAGCATGTAGCAGACCAGAAGACGCAAAGAGTCGAAAGCCAAGAAGAGGTTCTGAACAGCTTCTGAAAGTTTGCGCATTCTATGCGCATTCGTTTCACCGCAGGATGCAGCAGACCCAGCCACGGAATGTCCATCTGAGTGGCTTCTTCTTCAGCTGCCCGGCGATGTGATCGATGGATTGAGCAGTTGCTGATTGAGCAGTTGCCATTGGAATCATTGGATCCATTGGAACCATTGGAATCCATTGGATCATATCGGATCCATGGGTTTGGCCCCAAACTCCGAGGTTTCACAGCCACAAACATCGCGGGCTGGTGCATCTGGGAGACCAGGTTTGCTTTGTGCGAGAATTAGGGGAGAAGCGAAGCTCAAAGGATCGCGCTCGTGGCGAAGATCATGTCATGTTGTAGCTGTGTCATGTTAAAATGGGGTAGATTCCAAAACCATCCAAAATCCAGCGGTTTGTTTTCATTGGAAAATTCCAAAAAAGATCACTTTTTTGGCGCAATGCTTTCCCAGGAGCGATATGCATACCTAGCATTGGAACCGACCGCTGATGGCACAATGGACCTGGTGGTCGAGAGGAGGGAGGCCGGGTCAGTTTGGGTTTGCAATATCGGTAAACAGGTGTTTTCCCTTTTCTTCCTGCGTATCATCTGACAGTTCGTCCGAAAAACATCGAGGTGTCTGATAGCTGTTGTTGGACACTGCTGCACGCTGACGGTGACGTGGGTTCTCCTTTACAGCACGGCGCCTCAGAAATGAACAAACATTGAATACATTTTTAGTTATATTTGTCATTTTCAAAGAACACAATAATTCCATGGCATTTCAAACATTTTTCCCATGTTTGACATGATTTGGTAGTCTCTAACCTTGTCCTGTTTGCTAACTTTGAATAATTTGCTTCAAACTTCAAACACTGGTGCAGGCTCTACAAACCAATGTCGAAGCTGTTGAAGTTTACAGCTGTCAGGTCACACATGCCATTGTTGATCCGCGGCAAATACAACGATTGCCTCGCTTTGGGTTCCAACCTTCGAGGTGTGGAGCATTGTTTTTTTTGCAGACACGTGACGTGAACCATGTTTTGCACAGGAGAATCTATATATTTTGATTATTTTGGTGCACTTGATGGATTTAATATGATTTATAGGATTTAATAGGATTTCCAAGAAAAACATCTGATTATCATTGATTCTCCATTATTCTCCAATTGGAATTCACATCTTGGAATGTTTTCGATCAGCCAAGGCGTATCCCCAGCACGTGCCTCCGGTCGACATCTCATTTGCAAGGCATCGAGCGAAACATGTTTTTGTTTCGCCACGAAGGATGTGAAGGCGAAAATCCAGAAAAAAAAGGGAGATCTCTGAGAAAATGGAGCAGCACGAAGAAGAGGAACACGTGAAATAAGCAAAACACGATTTTTACGAATGAGAAGACTATGACTAATGAATTCGATATTCGGATGTTTTTTTTGATGTTTGTTTCGTTTAAGCGAAGAATCGTTTTGACATGACATGCCGGGCATGGTTTTTGGCAGGGACGTGATGGTCGCGTCCCAGATCTTCGCTTTCGCATTGCCGGATCCACAAGAGTTGCACTTGCCATTCCAAGTTGGGAAGAGATGTCTTCGATGAAAGATTGAACAATGTGGTACCCTCTGGAAATTTAACATAGCTATTGAAAGATCCACCATTTTTAATGGGAAAATCCACTATTAATGGTCATTTTCAATAGCTATGTTAATGAAAGATTGAACTGGTTGTTGCTGTTTATTTTGTCATATTATGCATCTATATGGGTTTGTCTGAAAATAGTGTATCTCATATTCCAATGGATTATCACCATGTTCCCCATTAAAATCGCTGTTTGTGGGTATCCCCTATTTTCAGACAAACCCATATCATCTATTCTGCATCTGTGTTTTAGGTGAAGGCCGGTATTCCCTTGGATGCCCGGGAGACCGGAGCAGAACACATGGAATACCCAGCTCCAGCGATACTCGCTGATGGAGACCTGGGACAGAAGAGCTTAGCAGCTCAGGACTTGAAATGATGTGTATCTGAAAATGAAGGAAAAAACCATGGGATACCTCCAAAATATATCCAAATGGCAAGTTTGATTATATATTATATATACACATATTTATATATATCTCTCTCCTCATAAGGAAACTGGGAATTAATCAATAGATTTTGGGGGTCCGGAATGTGAGGTCATTGCAAGTTCTAGTGATATGTACTGAGCAATAGCTGACTTGCGGTTTTGTTCGGCCCATTTTCAATGCTGGCCACAGGAGCATATGCTTCTGGACGATTTGCTGTTCTGCTTACAAGGATTCTGTCATTAAGAGCGTCCACAAAATTGTGGATACCCTCTGGTATGACGAACATAGCTATTGAAAATGGTTGATTTACCCATGAAAAATAGTGATTTTCCACAGTTATGTTAGTTTACCAGAGGGTATGTTTGGTGCATGGACATCATTTCTATTTGGTGTGTCAAGTTGTGTCAAGACCTTTGAAGCCGTTGAGGAGTAGAGGGCGCCTACATTCACAAGACCGACACTGCTGAGGGCGCACGTTTCACCATTGAGATTCCAGCAGGTGCATCTGTTTTTCATGATTGTCATGCACATCCTGAAGATATTTGAGAATAGCTTGTAATGTCAACCCTGGATTAATAAACCCCGTTTACGGCTGTTAAAAAAAGGGGGGATACCATTTAAGTATTGGATTATGACTATTGGAGGAGTACCCTGTATAGTATGTGAGCACACAAAATGAGACATCTTTGCAGTCCACAGCATCACATTTTGTAGGAGCAGATGCATCCACAGCTCAATTCCTGCAGCAGATGATGCCGTTATGCGATCACCATGCGTTCGTGGAGATGTTTGTGGAGCAGCAGAGCAGACATGAATACGGTGCTTCGCTCAGTCACATCGGATTCAATGGACATCAATGGAGCCGCTTGTGCGAGCTTCTAACTGGTAGCCAGAGTGATTTGGAATATCTTCATAAGCATGTCAACCATTGACTGTTTGACTCGGACACATATATAATCATATCATATATATATATATAATGCATATATCATCATATACATACATATCATAATTGAAGAGATATTCTGTTGCATTCTTTTGGGATCTTCCGATCTTCCCGTTTTTATGAAACCAGTCCCTTTCCGTGGCTCGAAAGGTGCAGTGAATCATGCCTTATGTTCTGCCTTGGGGGAGCTGCTGCGTGAGTTTGCCATGAAGGCCTTGGGAAACTGCCTAGATCCACTGGATCCACTGGTTTAGCATCATTGTCCCGATCAAAATGGGCATTTAATGGGTGGTATTCCCAATTTGTTAGAGAAAACCCATGTGAATGTCAAATGATCAGCAAATGACCAAGTGGTGAAACACCCTTCGCCCAGAGGTGAGTTATTTGGAGCAATCCTTGCAGAATGGTGAGCTCAGTCTGGCGGAACTCTGGTACCGATCGCAGCCATCAATGGACACATTTGCATTGCTGCAACCTGGCTGAACAATTTGCAAACACAGGGGCAACAGTACTCTAGTAACTCTAGTAACTCTAGTAGTAGTGTACATGGGCAGTATCAAGGTGTAGAAATGATTTATGACATCTGTGTCATTTTGATCTCCAGGTTTTGTCAGTCGTACTCCACCTGAGTGTCTTTCTTAAGGTCACTGCAGCTGAGGTATCGCGTCACGTCACACGTGCAGGGCTTGAAGGGTGGTGCCGTTTTAAACGGCACCTTGGCACGCGCCAAATGTGTTTCGGTCATTGGAAGTCCAGTTGACATCAGTTGACCCTGTGCAATTTGGGGTGCCAAATCACGGTGCCAAATGGTCATTTAATGGGAACATGTTTATTTACCATGAAAATTGAGATGGTTACACTAGCTTTAGATCCATTGAATGGGACATCAGTAAGCATCAAGGTCTTTCGAAAATGGAGAGATTGAGGTATCGAAGAAGTCATGATGAAGACGGGTCTCACGTCAGCCCAATCTCTCTGCGAATTTCTACTTCAGAAGGCAAGACGACTGCATCAAAATTCCAGGTGTGTCACTTGCATCAGTGATTGCTGTGATGGAATATGATGAAAATCATCCCAAATTATCCCACATTGTCACCTAATCTCCAAGATTTATAGATGAATTGTTCATTTTTGTGTTCAATATCTCAAAATCATCCCAATAACTATCAAAATCATTCAAAATCCATATTCGTTGAATATCTTGAGTTTCCGAAGTCCTATTTCAAGCCTGGGGCAAGGCTTCACGACCATATTTCGATATGATGTCGCTGTGGGTCTATGAAGGGCGACTGGAAGACCCTTACAACGAATTCTTTGTGCTTCGAGCTCAGATTTTTTTGCGATTGGATCTTGGCGATTGGAGATACAGCAGAGATTTTTTGTGGTTGGATCAAAGAAATCAGAATATCTTGAAGATCTGGCAGTTTGTCAGACGTCAGACTGATCCTGAGATCTGAAATCATCTAAAAAATCTCTGCATTTCCTTTTTGCCTCACTTGCGAATCAAAGGCACACATTTTGTACCCTCTGGTAATTTAACATAACTATGGAAAATCACCATTTATAGTGAAATTTCCCATGAAAAATGGTGATTTTCCATAGTTATGTTAAATTACCAGAGGGTAGATGCTGCCAGCTCCAGTCTTAGCACTCAGATTGCCACTATTTGCCACTTCAGGTCTGAGAATTTTCGACGTGATGAGCAGACAAAGCGCACTGGACCTGCTGCTGACTTCTGGCAAAAGCATTTCACAATTGATGAGAGGTGGGAATTGCCGTATGTAGCCTGTCCGGCTACACTCTGACATTCTGTTGAACATGTCGAAGCAGAATTGTGATGAATTGTGATGAAAGTAGGAAAGATCAGAAAAGATCAGGAAAGCAGTTGAAGCGATGCAACGCTAACAGACGCATACAGCAAACACTTTTCCATGGCAGAGATCTTCAGGGCAGTGCCGCAGTTCTTGGCTTCGAGTCGCGAACGCATTCTGCACGCCGGTTGCTTGACAACATACGAATCCCCAAAGCCCTGATGATGTGATTTTCGGTTTCAGAAATGGGGTTGTTTGATGTTGTTTGAACATGGTGTACCCCCACTTCCACAGGATTGGGCAATTTTGGAGAATTGTGGGGTTGCCATGGTATACCATGGTATCCCGGTAGCAGTCCTATTTATTGGACAAACGTTTCCCCCACTTGTGGCTCTGAGGAAAGTATCTCCATGTTTTCTTTTCAGCATCTCCATCTGCGTCACTTCCTGAGCCGTTGGGTGGCCGTGTGCCCTTCCAATACTCCCGCAAGCGACGAGATTATGCCGAGGTGCCAACAGTTGTGACATCTAGGCGCATTGACCCATCTTGACCCCACAGAACATGGCTTTTCAATACTTTTCAGTACTTCTGAATGCCTTTCAAGAGTTTTCATGTTATTTTCATCCCTTCCACCATTTTCCGTGCGGAGTCCAACTTAGGCAGATTGCATGGGGACAAACTGGTTGAACTGTGGTTCAATCCTACTGGGTTTCAAACATTGTTCTTCTTTTATTCCCCACCTGCCAGGTGAGGGTTGTTAGATTTTATCTAAGTTGCCTGGTCCTCCTCCTCCTGCCTCCTCCTCCTCCTCCTCTCCTGCTCCTCTCGTTGTCCTCCTCCTCTCGTTGTCCTCCTCGTCCTCCTGCTCAACTGCGACTCGCGATCCACAGTGTTCTCTGTCGGACCTCAACCACGACCATCCACGCCCAGTGTTCCCTGCCGGACCTCAACCACGACCATCCACGTCAGTGTGCCCTGTCGGACCTCAACCACGACCATCCACGCCCAGTGTTCCCTGCCGGACCTCAACCACGACCATCCCCGCCCAGTGTTCCCTGCCGGACCTCAACCACGACTATCCACGCCCAGTGTTCCCTGCCGGACCTCAACCGCGAGTATCCACGCCAAGTGTTCCCTGCCGGACCTCATGTAGGAAGATATGGGACAAAGAATGTGCAGAAGAAAGTTAGAAAAAATGTCAGACAAGTATGTTATATATTACTTGCAAACTCGCGCGTGTGTGGTAGAGTGACCGGGACAATGCCACTTCTTACTTTGCAGGTGGCCAGATAGAATGCCAGAAGATATGCCAGATGGAATGTCAGATAGAATGCCAGAAGGTAGCCATGAGATATGCCAGATAGAATGCCAGAAGGTATGCCAGATAGAATGCCAGAAGATATGCCAGATATAATGCCAGAAGATCTGCCATATAGAATGCCAGAAGATATGCCAGATAGAATGTCAGATAGAATGCCAGAAGATATGCCAGATAGAATGCCAGAAGATTTGCCAGATAATATGCCACAAGATATGCCAGATAGAATGCCAGAAGATATGCCAGATAGAATGCCAGAAGATATGCCAGAAGATTTGCGAGATAGAATGCCAGAAGATATGTCAGAATATATGCCAGAAGATATGCCAGATAGAATGCCAGAAGATTTGCCAGATAGAATGCCAGAAGATAGGCCAGAAGATATGCCAGAACATATGCCAGAAGATATGTCAGAATATATGCCAGAAGATATGCCAGATAGAATGCCAGAAGATTTGCCAGATAGAATGCCAGAAGATAGGCCAGAAGATATGCCAGAACATATGCCAGAAGATATGCCAGATAGAATGCCAGAAGATATGTCAGATAGAATGCCAGAAGATATGCCAGTAAGAAAATGTATAAATGTCATGGTGGGGATCGCACGAAGTAAAGTAATTTGAAAATATGAGTCAAACGTCAGTGAATGATACTTTTTCTATCTCTTTCTGAGAAGCAAGAAAAGCATCATGGAGGTATACCAATCTGTCCAGCGCTTTCGTTAAATGTTTCAATGAAGTGAGACATGGGGAGAAGAAATGAAGCCAGTTCACCAGTGGCATGTGGTTTAGAATCTTTAGAACAGATTGACACACCAAAAAAATCAGGTTTCGGGCGAACGGTTGAACCGGTTTCGGCGTTTCAGTTTGCTTTTGATGCTTTTGCAAAGTGACCCACTTCATTTTTTTTCAACCGCAGATCTTTCAGCGCCCATATAGGCAATCGATTCCGCCTACCGCCGCTCAGCCACTGCCCTTTTGAACTTATTCATGCGACCGCAACCTGAACCTCAGCTGCAGAGATGTGGAGAATGATTCGATCTCCATGGGATGGTCCTCCCCTTGCCCAGGAAGGCTTGGACTTACCTGGACGCTTAAAATCACTGCGAAGTTTCTTCTTCCTCAGCAAGGCATGAGGATTTTCTGGGCAATGTTGGGTTTTTTTGTTGGGCGATTAGTCGGATTTTTCATGGTTTTTCGTAATACATGGACAGCTTGTGCAGCACTGATGCAGACGCCGATAAAGAAACCTCTTCCTAAAAAAAATCGATGCAGCTCTACAAGAACAAACATCTCCACCAATGAATCAAACTCGACGCCGCTAGCAAAGAAAAGACAGCGATGCGCTTTTCTTGTTTTGTTCACACTCTTGCAACTTTCTGTAAAGAACTTTCCATTTTTTTGTAGAATTCACGATGCGTTCTCCACCAGTGACAGCAATATCCGCAGGCAGATTGGTTCGGCCACTTTCTGGACACTGCAGACTTGGAACGACCTGCAGAGGAGGTACCTTTAGCGAGGCACAATGTTCAATGCAGAAATTGCATGGAGCCAGTGAAATTGAGACATTTTTTCCACCTTCCAATTTTTCCAGATGTTTCCACCTTCCAATTCTTCCAATTCTTCCAATTCTTCAGCATTTTTCAAGATTTTTCCATGTTTTGGAGGCTCGATGGCTTGTTGGATCTTGCGGTGCGAGCATCATCCATGGCAGCAGACCCTTTCCGGGAAGACATCTCTTGCGGCCTCCATTCCTTTCGAGTTGAGGTGCAGAAATTGGCCGAAAAAATTTGACATACCTGGTGGATCCTGGTGGATTAAACAGGTTGGTATGTTTGGAGTTTGGAGAAAACATTGGAGTACTTTTTTTGGTAACTCAGTTAGTAAGTGGTATAATTTTTTTTGGGGGTTCTTTTGGTCTCAGAAGTAGATTGGGGTTTAGATCAGACACAGCATGAGACCTGATGCTTTGTGGATGTTGCCATCGTAGGATGCGTGCCATCGCATGGTCAAAGGTTCCCATGAGGAAGACAAGGAGCGGCGTTTTTGCGGCTGCTGTTTGATTTCTAAAAAAAACAATTTGGAACCGCCAAAATCTTGCGGTTAATCACAGAACCATCGTAGTTTTCCCAATTTTCCCAATTTGGAACTGCATTTTCGGGATAGCAAATTCCACGGTCGATCATCATTTTCCCAGATTTTCTCCTTCAGATAGCCAAGTTCTGTACATCTCAGGAGGATGCAGCCTCTGTTGCCTCAGGAATCTCAACAGTTGCAGGACTGGGCTGCTCGGCGGCACTTTTTGTGGGTTGAGATACGCCATGATAACAGGGAATACCCAGAATAACTGGAGAAGAACATGTTAACAAATGAAATGAAATGAAGAAGTGGAAAAAGCTGGGGATGGATCAAGAAGTATCAAGGAAATTTGGATGGCACACCGCAAAATCGAAGGGACCTGATGGTAAAGATTGGACCTCTTGCTGTTTATTGGATGTATAACATGATTTTGGATGGTTCCAAAGTGCTGAAATGGGCTGTTGGTTGATGAAGTTTCTCAGTCTCGAGGCCTCGCAGGCGAGGGCTCCGGCGTTCGAAGCTTGACGCTGAAGTATCGCACCGCATGGCCGCTGTCCATACTCTTCTCCAAGACCATCCTGCTGAAATATCAGGTCAGGAACGACTGTTGATGCGGCAAGTCTATGAATGAGGTGAGTTATATGTGAAAATAAAGATATCAGATATCAAAATTCTCGGATTTTAGATGTATTTGGTGAGAAGCCTGGCTTGGTCCCATTTCTTGTAAAATTATATCCATGATTTTCCATATGATTTTCCATCACCATTTCCACAGTGAAACTGAGTTTTTATCAGGTGATCTTCCGGCATTTACTGTATTGCCGCTATGTGGAGCGGAAGCTTGTGGAAGTCTGGGTGGACCATCAATATACCAAAGAGTTGGGGTTGGATTCGAGCTTCAGCCCGTGCCCTGCGGTATTCCTGCGGATCCTGATGCAGTTGACTGGTAGACTCAAACGTTATATGAAAATAGCTATTTTGTAAAAGGCCATAGTTGATTTACCCATTAAAAATATTTAAAAATGATGATTTTGCTATTGAGCATGGCCATTTGTATAGTTGATTTACCCATTTACCCATTAATAGCAAGGTGATTTTCCATAGTTGTTTGGATGTTTACCAGAGGGTAGACTTTCTCTGGGTAGGACATAGTTTTTCTCCACAGGTACTACTCGTTGCGGCAGAGAATGCTGCACTTTTGCCGAGACTACATCTACTACGCTACCGTGGAGGTTCGATTGATGGAGAGATGATGCCATCACTGGTGCAGAAGATTCCCCGACATTACCAGGTATGCTATGTTATTTAAAAAATCATCTTATTGAAGCCCCGATTTTTGGATGATCAAATGATGATTTTTTCATGATTCAACTATTCAACTGCCATGTGTTCATGATTTTTTCATGTTTTTTTTTTCCCATGAATTTTCATGATTTGCCCATTGGTTTGGCACCCCTTTTGTGGATCAGGTCCTAGAACCTCAATCGCACGAGTTTCTGGCCTCACTCAGTGGCGCAGAGACGATAGATGATGTGCTGTACCGCCGCTGGATTTGGAGGATAAGCCATGACAGATAACCTGGATTTAAACCAGTAAAGGTTTATACCATAAATTATACCATGATATATATGATATATATGATCTTTATATGATATATATGATCTTTATGGTATTTATACCATGATTTATACCATAAAGATCATATATGATATCTAAGGAAAACTGAGTAATGTCAACCCCGGATTAATAAACCATGGTTTATTAATTAGGGGGGTACTCCTCCAATAGTCATAATCCAATACTTAAATGGTACCCCCCCAATTAAACAGCCGTTTGGGGTTTATTAATCCAGGGTTGACATTAATTTGATGAGATTTATGTACCGATCTAAGGAACTGACTAAGATGATCACGTGGAATAATCTAACCTTAGGTGTTTGGTGACTATCTGGATTCTAAGTTGAATATCTACATATATCTAGCAAGATCATAAACCATTTACACTTCCCGGGACATCGAAGTATGCAATCTCCAAGCTGGACATAACTGGACTAGGGACATAGCTGGCCACTGGGGAAAAGCTTTTTGAGAGACATGTGGAATACAGGGGATACCCTAACATGGCCATTGTAGAAGGGTGAAGACTCAGGGTTCGAAGGGGCAACTGGAAGAAACCTTTCAACAATTGAAGCTAATTATATGCTAATTATATAGGCATTTACAGAGTACATCTATGATAATCTATGTACATCTATTGAATTTCACAGGAATTGAATTGACCACTTGAATCGATGTTTTAATTTTGGCATATTTCGGCTTGTCCCTGGAAGCTGAGGACATGAGCAATTTCTAGAGGGTTGCTTGCGAGAAGTGCTGCTCACAGAACACGACAATCTCTACAGGCATGGCTATCATGACTGGAGTGCCGTCTTTTTCGGACCTTTCTTTGTGGTTTCATGTGTTGAACCTAATAAAGCAGAACCCAATAGTGCATCCATAGCAATGTGATTTCCCGACATGCCAACATCATGCAACATCCATCCAGAACACTCTTCCTGCTTAGGCCAAAATTCACATTATGACAGGCACCTCTCGAAAGTTCTTCAGACCTGCCTGACTTTTGCGCACAACTTGCGGAGGCAGGTGATGACATAAGATCAGCAAATTTCGTCACATTTCTAGGGGCAGCCATGGGCAGCCCATGGGCAGCCCATGTATCAAAGCGCCAATCAAACAACGTCAGATACCAACAGCCCTTCTCCATCATTCTCTTGTGAAAAGAAATATGACCCTTTGGTAGACTAATATAGCTATGGAACATCACCATGTCTAATAGGTAAAATCAACATAAGTCAACAATGTTTATAAATGGCCATGTTCAGTAGTGATGTTAAATTACCAGAGGGTAGAAATCTACAGAAACCTCTTTTTCCTTCCTTTGGGCGAGCCGAGGTTTTCGCACAGCATCGCTGGCGAGCCGATTGAAGAGCCAGAGGATGGCAAGACTCCAGCAGAGCGAAGGCTCTCAGCGTGTGGATTGGTTCCAGACACCAACATATCCAACATCAATTGATATCAATTGGACATATCTATGGCTATACATGAATTAGACAAATATTAGACCTATCTATGGCTTTCGTGGTGAAGAAGAACCTGTCAAGTTGAAGTGAAGCAAATGCTGCAGATGAACTATGCAGTGAATCTTTGCAGGTTGACCAGGGTTCGGCACAGTACACAGATGCTTGGAGAGCAACCATGAGTATAGTCATAATTAGTTTTCTATTCAGATCAAGATGGTTCCAGCCTCAAATTGTACTGCTTTTTTTTCAATTGCTACACTTGGCTGTAGTTATCCTTCAAGCATTGTATCTCATTGTACTTTCTTACTCTCTTGTACGTAGCTTGATGATTTTGATGCGGGGTCATCCTGCAAGTGTCCCTGAGGAAATACTTGGCACTCCTTTCACAGAGGCAAAGATGCGCCGCTTTTTGAAGATGTTGGAAGCGTTTCTGAATTCGGAGCAAGTCGGAGCACAATAAGCTCATGAGATCCTTGACACTTCTCAGATGTGACCTGGTGCCAGCTTTCTGGTTGTCAGATGTTGTCAGGCATTATTCCAAGATGATGGCCAAGTGGAAGACCATCTTCGAAAGCCAGTTGCAAGCCTTCCTTCGACAAATTCAGTCTCTTGACACCTGACACTGACACACAACCTCAACAAATTAACTGAGAAATACTGAGAATAACTCCGCAAGCTCCAGTCATAGTTTCCAGGACCGGCTCAGCCAGTCACTCGTAAAGTCACTGCTCATGTTACTGAAGTTGCGACTTTGTTGGAATTAGCATGCCTCTCATCTTGGAGTTGTGTCTCGCGTGCTATGATACTTTCCTAAGCAGCTGTTTTCTCGGGGTTGGTCATGAGACTTTCAATTTCTAATTCTGCGACCCACAGGGCAATACATTTTGTCCAGCTCTGCCTTTGCGACAAAATGAATAGCGCAAGGCGGGCTTGTTTTGTAACCTCTCTTCACTGCTTTTCTCATTGATATATATATATATATCAGAACGTTTATTTCTGTTGCTACTGGCACTTGCGGTTTCAACCTGCTGATTTGGCCCAAAATCTCAAATCTTTATCAGCAATGTTTAGCCCATTTCAGCTTCTGTTGGAACAAGTCTATGCTTTCAAGCTACGATAAGCTATGTCTATTCTTGATTGCTCCAGTTGGTTGTTGTTCCCATGACCAGAACTATTCAGAACTCCTCCAGCCGGCCCAAAATTGCCCATCCCAGCCCTATGTGGTGAGGCAAGAGACGAAAGCTCGCTATGAACACTTTCTGAAGAATCTGGCAACACGCTTGGACTACAATGAGTACTACTCCACCGTGCTGAGTTCAGGTCGAGACAAAAGAAAGCATTGCAAATCTTTGGAAGCCTATTTTCCCATCTCATCGAAATCATCTAGATCATCTAAATCATCATGCAGCTGGAATTATCATTATTATCCATATCACTAAATTATCCATAATTATCATAATTATCCATAAATGATCCATAAATGATCCATAAATTATCACAGGATTGTAACATGTTGTACCATGCATGTGGATCATAAATTGGAAGCGTCCAGGACCGGAGATCTTTGCGCCACCTGAGCGATGACGCCGATGAAGCGAGGGCCGGGCCCGGCAACGGCGACGGCGATCGGGAAAAGTGACCAGGTGGAGGCCGCTATGATCTGCCAGGATCCGCCATGGCCAACCGCTATGAGTCGCCATCAAAACTCATCAAAATCATGTAAAATCCATCATAAAATCCATCATAAAATCCATCAAAGATATATAGCTTTGTGGGAAAATAATGGAAAATGTGGGAAATCATGGACACATCATTGACGCTGGCGATTGGCACTTGCGACTTGGAAAGCTTGGATGTTGGCCAAACCTTGCTGGCTCAAGCTTGAGAGGTCCATGTTTGGAATGTCTCTAGTTGATCAAGTGAAAGAAATGAAGCAGTTTTGTTCTTCAGCAATAAAACACACATGAAAAATGAACCACTTAAGTTTGGGTGCATTTCAGATATTTAAAGATCTTTAAGCAATGGTTTGACAGAAGCATCCGGGCATTGCGGTTTCTTCATCCCAGTGATCAGCTACGAGGAAGAAAGCCATGGGACTGCGAGAAGTCTTTAGTTCTGAGGCGACCGATGGATCGTCAGATGGAACTTCCAACGAGGATCGTGGCGCCATCCTGACGCAGATTTTGTCAAAGATCTTGTTAAACTGTTAAAGACCAACCAAGACTCTGTAAACCAATATACTAATATAGGTTGAATATGATAAACTATGGAACACATCAGCATACCGGTAACCAACAAAATTATTGTAACCAACAAGTCTTGCTTCGTCTTGCCTTTCTTAGGGGTGTGCAAAACCTTAAACCCCATAGGGGACGACCTTATATCCCTGTTTTGCATGAGTCGCCTCAAAGTCTGTGAAGGCAGAAATCATCACTACCATCACTACCGATAGCCGACGATCCTAATTTGCGCATGGCATCAAAGTGAACAATAATAAATGATTAATGTTATATTATATTAATATGATTAATCAAAGCCCACCATTCACATCATAAAACTTAGATTTTCGAATCTAGGAGAAGCAAGCCTCGTAGGAGCTTGTGAAACGCTCAGAGCTTCTCAGACTTTGCTTTTGGTACTTGTCCAACCCAAAGTGATGTCAAAATATCCGAAACTTGAGCTTACTCATGCTTGAAATCGAAAAACATAGAATATTGTTTGTAGAGATAGAGTATTGTTTGAAAAAGACGACAGCACAGTACTTGTTTGATTTTGTGGGGCAAACAAACAGAAGCTGTTTGGAACTTAATGTCAGCTATGTGGAGAACAAATACGACTTGAGCCGAAAGGCAGAGCACCAAAGACATCAGACTCTCACAACTATGGTGAGATACAAGGTGTAATCAAACATGCAGATCATATGTCATATTTATAGAATACATGTTTCCAACTTGTGAAGTCAGAACTGAAGTTTTGTCACTGAATTATGACTCACAGTTGCCGTTGCCAAAGTGACTAACATGGTCAAGATCTGAGAGCTTCAAATGCTTCAAATGCTTCAACATCAACAGCAATGTCATAGAATTGGATGATGGGAAAATTTTAACCGGAAACCCCTATATTTGATGGTAAAAACCATGGCAAAAACCATGGTTTCCGGTTAAGATTTTCCCTTAAACCAATCCATTGACAATGGATCCAAAATTCTGCCAGGAGATCGTGAATGCCCGTGCGGCCGCCTTGATCTATGATGCCGTTGACGGAGAAGATCGACCGCTTCCTGCGCATGGCCAATGCCATTTGAAATCACACCTACTTCGCAGCAGGTCCGGAAAACATCGGAAAAACACAGCGAGGATGATCATCCCATGAACAGAGATCTGTACAACATTGTACAACAGTTGATGGGATGGATGACCAAAAATCTAATGAGTATTGACCAGTATTGACCATGTGACCATGGCACAGATGATGCTATCAGCTATCAGAATGAGAGCCAACAAGTTCCTTTTTTGGGCTCAGGGAAGTTAAACTTTATGTCGTTTTTGTTCTTGTTCTTCAACACTCTTCTTCAACTGGTAATAAATCAGATTACATCAGATGAATTCAGCGACCTAGTGCAACATCCGGATGTGACTCCTAGTGCAACATTTTTCAAAGCGCCAGGTGGGTTTGGGTCATTCGTCTTTGGTCTGTCCTTGGCATGTTGATCGAATTTTTCGTGGAACCACATTGGTGTTTGCGCCACAGCACTGGACGTTGTCCTAACTCGAAATTCTATATGTCAGATTTCCCCAAATTCGGACAGCAATCAATTTGGATGTTGGCATTGAACGTCATCTACTTTATGCCCTTTTTGCTGGATATTGGACTGCGGGTCCTTGCATACGAAGGGAGTTTTGCAACGGCGTCACAAAGATCTTATGTGGCAGTTGTGAATATCTATGCCGTGGTTTCATTCATTGACTATTTCGGCCTCCCCACCTTTGACGTCTTGGCGTTTTGCAGACCTTTGATTTTCTTGGCCTTGCACCATACCGTGCGCAGAGAGGTCAAAGTTGTTTTGAGCAGTATTCCACAGGTCTTGGAACTATTCTTCCTGGGTTTTCTTCTTCTGCTGTTCTTCGCTTTAGTGGCCATCATCCTGTTTCCAATCACTACTGAGGAGGGTCGGATGTATTTTCCAAGTCTTTTGACAGGGATGTGGAGCTTGTTGGTTTTGCTAACTACAGCCAACTTTCCAGATGTGATGCTTCCAGCCTATCGGCTTTCCCGGGCTGCGTTCCTCTACTTTTTCCTCTTCATGATCGTTGGAATGTTTTTCTTGGTCAACGTCCTCACTGCCATTGTGATGAGTGCCTACCAGAGGCAGGTTGGAGTGAATCGCCTCAATCTCAAGGACGGATGGATTCGGTCGGATGATGTCGGTTCATGAATCATGGCAGTAATCTATAGTAGTCTCTTACCGGTCACTGGTCATGGTACATCATGGTCGCAGTCATACCAATCACGTGTGTCTGTTGTTTCCACCTGCTGTAGGTTGGGTTATTTGAGGATGTCACCGAAATCAAACATAGGGCCTAGTGTTGGACAATGCGGAAAGCTCTAAGGTTGGGTCACAGCAGTGAAACGTGGTGGTGTTTCACACTGTGGCTCCGCAGCTAGCCTGAGTGGCGGTGAGAATGAAATGACTCCTGTGACTAACTAGGTCAAAAATGGTGGAGATTCTGTACACCTATTGCAATTGTGTTGGTAGATCTGGACATCCCATTTCACTTTATCAGATGTAGCCATATAAACCTGATGTAGCCACAATAAGTGGAGTGGATGCGGAATTTCGAGCTGAAAAAGCCAAAATTCGGCCAAAACCCATTCTTATTGAAGAAACTGAATGTGAAATATGTGAATATGTCAATGTCAGAATCATCTTGGCTTATCGGCTTCTTTTGGGTCATGTTTCCCCTTCCGCGGCAGGAAACCCGGCAAAAGAAACTGAACCAAGCCTATGAGTTGCTGACAACTGATCCAGATACTCATGAAGAAGTTCCATTGACCCTTGAGCGAATGGATGCTGTGCTTGAAGAATTGAGCCACTTTCGAAACTTTGAGACCGAGGCCCCGAATTTGTACAGCCAAATCTCTGCACAAGTCGATTCCAGTGGAGATGGAATTGTTAGCCGTTCGGAATTTGGATCACTGATTTGGGTTATCACCAAGCACTTGTCAGAGGAGTCACCTCCCCCAACTTTGGAAAAATGCTTTCCAACATTGGCAGAGTCAGATATATGGCAGGTGGCAAAGAGCATTGCAACTTCTGATTGGCCTGGATTTGTTATCGATATTCTACTTGTGCTGAATCTCATTGATATGATTGTAAAATTATGGCCAGAAATTATTGGTTCGGAAACTGCAGAGGAGGCGGTTCACGATCGAAGGGCGGCAATTGCAGGATGGGTACAGCAGACGTTCACTTTGATTCTGGTGCTTGAAACTGTCTTCAAGGTCGCAACCATTGGATTGGACAGATATCTCTCCAGCCACATCAATCAATTTGATTTTGCAATCACAACATCAGTGGTCGCGATCTACTTGCTGAATTGCTTTCCCGAAGTTCTTTTCAGTCATGCCGACCTTGCTCGAATCTCACAATGTGCTCGGCTTTTTCGATTTTGCAGAATTTTGGATAGGTACCAGCCATACCATCATTTCGGCCGCATTGCTTTCAAACTCATACCTCCTGCTGTTGATGTTCTGACCGTGGTGGCATTGATATGCTATGCCTTTGCAGTTCTTGGGGTTTTCCTCTTTGGTGGTCTGATCAACGACGACCCAAACGATCCCAACTACGAAGCAGTGGCCAAGTCGAGCTACGGACAGGCCGACTACAAGGTGAACAATTTCAATGACATTGGCATGGGCGTCTCAGCATATCTCAGTACATCTCAGCATATCTCAGCATCCTTTGGCATATCTTCGAGTTATTTTTGATATAAAGTATATATATTTACACTACAGTATATATATATATTTATCATATATATATATATTTTGCATCTTGCATTGATATGAAGTCCAGCCATGTTTAGCCTAGTTGAAATGGCAGTGCACCTATTGGATCCATCTGGATCCATCTGGACCAATTTCCAAGGAATGGTCACTTTGTTCGAGCTCCTGGTGGTCAACAATTGGCTTCTCCCTTAAAAATCTCTCCATTTTTTGATTTATTGCTCAATTGACTCCTCTAGACTCCTCTAGACTCCTCTAGACTCCTCTAGACTCCTCTAGACTCCTCTAGACTCTAAACATAGACTCTAAACATTGATATGATATGATATGATATGATGCCGATTTGCAAAACGGAGAGAGAGAGAGAGAGAGAAAAATGATGCGGTGGATGCGGTGGATGGTGCAATATGAATTGAAGATGATGGGGATCCATCCCTTTGGACAGGGTTTTGATGGGTGTTTTCAGCTTCCACCAGCGCTGTTTCCAGCAGGTTTATGATCGCTGATGGTTTCTCAGCAGCCTGTGGTCCTGGTGCACGGGCCTATTTCGTGGCATTCTGGGCCTTTGGTGTTTTGGTGGGTTTGAATCTGTTCCTGTCAACGATCATCGAGGCTTTTACCACCGAATATGAAGAGCTTGAAGAAGCGGATTTCCGACTGCCAGATTTTAGTGAGGCCACTGCCCTGAGCAATGCACTCTATGTGGATGTGAAACAATCCTTACAGATACCGCTAGATGATACGGATCCTACGCATGAGCCATTGCCATCATATCGCAGCAGCGACGGGCCCTAAGTAGAGATAATGGCTAGTGACTGGCTGTACATTATGTTTTTGTTTGCATGATATCTCTGAATTAGCACCTTTGTGGACCGCAAAGCGACACATTGACGTCATTGACGATCGATTTATCTTCGTAAAATGGATCATTTGAGCTGCCGAAGTGGATCACTTTCAATCAATTCCGCCGATATAGCAACACATCTGCGTAATTCTGCGTATAGGTGATTCGGCCGCAGCGTGTTCGGCTCTTACAACACAAACAAGTCGCTTGCGCGATTTTTATCAAGTGAAATTTGGGGACATATGGGACATTGGCCCCTCGCATTGCGCTTAGACTTGCCATTTGGGCAATCGCAGGTCAAACTTGACAGCGTTCACAACCAGATTTCTCCCGGTTTCCCGAGACTGTCGCCATGGACTCCGAAGGTCAGAACGGCTTCGGCAACGAGGACTGCAGCGTTTCGATTGGCAAATGGTCCAGAATGTTCAGATGGATAAAAGATGATAAAAGTTTCTAAAAAATTCACTTTCTCGGTTTAAGGGTCGACTTCGCACCGACTCCCTACAAGTGGAATGACACAACCATCATGATTAGTTTCTATAAAGATATTTTCTTCGAGATACACATTGTTTGGTTCTCCTTCCACACATGCTGTCTTCGCTTGAACTTTACTCTAAATTTTGCTGATGTGACAATGACGAGACTACCAGAGAAACTATTGATCGTTTCAGAGGCGGGCAGGTTTTTAGAATATGTTTTTACTGGAATCACTTTGGATATCAGGTCAAGATGAGATTTGAAAACACACACGGCTGTCAGACATAACATGACTGCAGGAAGGTCCAAGAAGTCCCACCAGAGCGAGCCTGGATAGTCTCCACAGTACCCGGAGGCCAAACGGTGACACGGTGAACGATGTGAACGGCTCGAAGGGCTCGTGCCGAAAGGTCATGAAATGTCGAGATGCTGAGTTATCCCAAGTAGATCAGTAGATCCGGGTCACGCGCTTGACCCAAATCATAAAGAACCAAACGGCGTAGCGAAAAACGGCGTATCCAACGGTGTATGACGAACGGTGTATCAAAGGGTGCCAGTTCTGTGCCTTGAACGGCTCGAAGAATCACATTACAGATGCCGACGATGCTTCGAAGCGCTTGGATGAGTTGTCCCGATTCGACGTCTTTACGGATTTAGAGTGAGGCTTTGCCAAGAAATGATGTTTCAACGCTTGGGATCCGCAGTGGCTAACACTTCTTAGTCTTGATGCAAAATGAAGACAGAGATCATAGCCTCGATGGTTTGGAAAGGCTTTCCTGGTATTATTCCATTGCTGCTGCAAATCTGGAGTTTACCAACTGGAAGCAAAGTACGGAAGAAATCAGTCTGGGATCTCACTGCTGTGGTGTAGAGGTCAAAGGCCAATCCAAATCGACTCGGACTTCGGTAAACTTTGCCTCTTGAATTTCTTGGATCATTTGGATGAAAGATTTGGTCCACGATGTCCACGTCGTGCTGTGGCGAAGTATTTCAGATAGGTCGATAGGTGCATTGCTCACAGAGAAGCCTTTGATTCTTGGTCACTCCTGTGAAATTTGGTCAAGAGCTCCTTGAAAATCTTGAAATCATGGGAAACGAGTCAAGTGCCAACGAACTCAGGAATTCAGCAGCCGGGAGGATTTTCAATCCGAAGCAGAGCCTAAAAAAGCACTTCCCTTTCGCATGAGCTGAAACAAAGCTAAACGTCATTCAACGTCTATGACTAGAACTTAAATTGAAGACAACTGCGAGAGTTTGATATTAAAAGGTAACAAAATGACATGCTATTTTGAGGGTGTTTGTCTGAAAGTCCATAGAACATCTCTCCATCACCTTGAACGCCTTGAACCTTGCTGTTTGGGTCGACATTAAGACTCTCCGTTTAGCAGCATGACGCCCAGTCGCCACTCGTCAAGTCCGCTGGATTGACGTTGCAGTAGGGTCTTGGGTGTGGCACATTGTGGCACCGCCTCGGCTGGACAATACATTTGGGTGATGACTTGATCAGACCTGCTTTAATTCCTCCAGGTAATGGCCTTTTTATGCAGCATATCCGAGAGCATTGAAGATCTCCAAACGAAAGAGAAAACACCCGGTGTTTTGAGAGCTTCGCACTGGCTGCATTTGCGGCGAAAGGGTTGCAACGGGAGCTGCAAAGGGGGCAGAGGACCAATTATGAAATGGTTCAGTCAGTAGCATTTGCGGCCTGGACTTCTACGCAAATGCCTGGTGGTAACGCCCTGGTAACGCTCAACTTGAGCCATTTAGAGAAGCCATGAGAAGCCCCAGCTGCCCTAGCTGTAACCTGAAGACGTTTGCTAAGTACTGAAGGTTCATAGCTTTCATTGGGCTGGCAATCTGCTGAATGGCTGCAGTATCATGAGTCTGGGCGTCCGACAAAGTTGGCTGTTTTGGTTGCCAGTTTGGTTTATCTTCGAGCCTTGCTGCTTGTGTAAGAAGCACACCTCTCATTGCACAGCCCATCATAGCCCAAAATCTGTATCATGTCATGTGTTGCCACTAAAATCAGACTTTGGCAAATTGACAACAAGTTTGGCACATTTTGCCACACACCAACATGATCCAACATGACTTCGTGACTCCGATGTACTCCGATCTTCCAGTGAGCAGTTTCTGCGACTGCGACTGCGATTTGAAGTTGAAAAGCTGACAGAGAAAACATGTGGGATCCCTATTTCAAACCACGTTTGCACAGGTTTAAAACACCAGTATCTACAGAACATGTAATACCTCTCGCTGGTGACAGAAAGACCAGGTCTTCTACTGAAGCTTTCAGCAATGTGGTTCTCGGAGCGATCGTAGTGTCCAACACTGGCAGCTGATGAATTAATGGCAATCAGGAGTTAGTTCTGAATTTTGAGATGGACGGGACAGGAATGTTGCGCAACTTTCCAGCCAACCAGCGCTTGTCATGTTGCCACTTTTTCCCAGTGCTGCAATTTCCAGTGATCCATTCCTTCATAGGTCGCTGCCACCTGGGATTTCTGCCTCTGATCAGCAGCATTCTGAACACAAAAGTGGTGTCTCGCATCCGCAGAAAAGTGGCAAAGGGCTGAATTTCTGGAGACCGGAGACGTCCGGAGACCCACCCAACTGCCATGCCAAAGCCAAATATGTCTGAAAATTGAGAGCCTAGATTAGATCGCAGCACTTCGCAAAATTTGAAGTTGAGAAGCTCTGGAGATGCCAATCCATCAGCTTTCCACTTTTGACTCACATGCGAGAAGGATAAACCAGAAAGTGTATGAGTAAGCCGAGTAAGCTCCTGTTTCGATTGTCAAATGGCTCTTCCGGATGGGTCAAATATTGCTGACACCCGTCTATGCCATTCACTGCCATTCACCTGACAGTCATCGACAGTCACATCCAGAAAACGAAGCCGTTGTCACCGTTGTCTTAAATCAAGTTCCACCAGTCAAATTTTGTAGATCCATGGTCCATGGCATTTACTTTTGAAAGCTTCCAATCTCAGGGTGGCAAATCCTGTTCCGGTCTGCCATGCTTCCCTTGTTTTCGGAAGGTCTCTCACGATACTTTCACACTGTCATCCAAACTGTGATGTGCCAAACAATTGCCATTCTAGACCGAAGAGAGCACACGAATAGTCTACATGTTCTTGTTCTGATTCTTGTTTTCCATTAAGTGTGGTTGAAAGCCCGACCACCTCGCAGCGTCTAGCAGCCGTTCCATATGTCCTTGCCAAACCAGGTGAAAGCGACGCCGTTTTTTGCCCTTTTTTGCATCACTGGATGGACACTTCGAAGGCACTCAAGATGTGCAAATCTGCATTCATCATTCATCCCACACGGCCTTCGCGGCCACATTCTGCCACGTGGAAATACTGGAAGTGCAAAGCTCGGAAGCTGAAGATAAGATAAGAGTGTTAAGAATGCCCAATTCGAAGTAACAACTGTCAAATTAGCTAAGATAGCTAAGTGTCTACCGCTACGCCTGGTGCTCTCCTATTCGGTTCTGGGTCGCCCCATTCCTTTTAACACCAGGTTGCTCTCGACCAAGGCCCTTTTCAGATGGTCAATAGAGGCTCCATGGGAGTTGCATATCCAAACATGCTGAAGTTCTGTGTCATAGTTTGCCTCCTAAATCTTGGAATGAGTGGAATGCAGATCCAAAATCCAGGTTCAGAGTCCATAGCAAAAAAGCTATGAGCTCCAAAAATACCCAGGGATGCTTGTGATAAGAGGTGAACAGATTCTCTGGAGCCTTTTTCAATCTGATTTTCTTCCCAAAAGCACCCAGTTGACAAAACTTTGACTTCAACTGCCATAGTAAGGACTTGGGTTGCAACGAGAAAAAGGGGGCGAAAGACTGAGACACATGATCAGCAAGGCACCCCAGTAGCCTGCGAGAAATGCATCGCACAAACGTGGCCAGCAGATCAGTGGATATTGTCTGCTGGACGTCCAGATCACCTTGGATGGAACCAAGTGGCCGAGAAGACTCTGCTTGTCAGATGTGACTGCGTAGTCCCATGTATTTCATGATGTTTCATGCTGTTTCAATTTGTTGGAGTCCGTGTCCATAGGATCCTTATGTGGTGCCACTTAACACACCGTCCCATGAAGGGTGGCAGTGAGGAAATTGTTGGCCACAATGTTGGGAAACAAAGGTGTGGTCTTACAAGGTCTGAAGCTGTGCAGAACATGCAATCACATGCAAACTTCACAAGTGTTGTACGTTGGTAAATTTCGAATCTGTGATGTGGTTTCCCTCGATTGACATAAAAATGACTTCCTTGAACCGATTCAACAGGAAACGGAATTGCCTTCAATGAGCTCAGGGCTTTTGACTTGGTAACGGCGTGTTTGCAGCGCAAAATTCAAGCGACCTGTGGGTTGACCCAGTCTCAGTCGCAGCTTTTGATGACGGTGCCCTTTAAGACATTTCATAGATGTCTTGATTCTAGAAAGAATGCTCCCAGCAATTTGCCAGTGTATGATGTTTATCCTTCGGATTCCATGTGAGCAATGTGAGTGCTCTCAAAGAAATACATTCTGGCAATGTCATTCAGCCAAACAAAACCGGGGCACTTTATGAGTTCAGACATAGAGCCGTGTTGAAGATTTGGCCAAGCCCAGATTTGCGGATCTTTCACCTTGTGACAGAGTGACAACGTCAAGACTATGGAAGATTCAGGCTGATTCAGGATCCAAAATTGCAGATGGTACCAGAACACATGGCTGCAATTGGCTTTGGCACGTAGATTGTTTAGATGGCCATAAACAGTTGGACTGGCCTGACGTTCCTCTCTAAGAACATGCGGCCAATCAAGTCATCCTGCTGGGTGCAAGAAGCATCTCAGAATATGTTTTGTATGTCCATGCATATTTGACATTTCAGTGCTTTGCTAAAACCTAGGGATATCCCGAGCTTCCATTCTGGGTCCCAAAAAGTGTAAGTTAATTTCTATTCGTTTCTAAAGGTGCACTGCAGAACTTTCGCTTTCTGAGACAGTCGAGAGCCAGAAAGCATAGGTGTCCCCAATGGTCCCCATAGAACGCAGATGGACGAGCAGAGAGACCTAGGACCAGCAGCTCGGCAGTGAGGCGCCAACAACCACTCAGTGCCAGATGGTTTCTCTAAGCTTGGGATGCCGTTGACAACGTTGAAGCAATGCGTTTCTCCACACAGCCGCTTAGTAACTAAGGATTATAGCTGAGCCCTAAAATGACAGACCTGAGAATCCACTGTGAAGATATGGATCCAAGTTGCACCATGATTGACCAAGAATAGTACTTCCATTTTTCACCGCTTTGTAGATCTCTTTGTTCTTCATCTTTTTGGTGATTCCTCAGACTCCAAGACGCACTGCAGGCATCAGTGGAGAAAGACCAAGAGTCCAGCTTGTCACATGTCGACTTTGACTGTTGAGAGTTGGAAGAGTGCATGAAACTTTGCATGAATTCTATTTGTTCACTCCGTTCTGCAGATTTCTTGCCAGTGGCCTGCTGTCGATACCCTCGCAGAGCAAAGCTAATTTTTGGCGGATGAGAGGGCTACGGCGGCTATGGCGGCCGGCAACAGTGAGATGGGGAACATGAGGAACAAATCGAGAGGTGTGAAGTACTGAGAAGCGTCTTAAAAACTGGAGCCGACCAATGGCACTGCGGAAGCAAACCCATGGTTGGCATCGCTAGTGTTGAAGATGTTGAAGAGCTTCTAGCCTTTTTCAGTGATAGTACCATTCGGAGCATTCCACTATGGGTAGAAGACGATAATTGTGTCCAATCTTCTCTTTGTCATGCTTAGAGTACCGATATATCGTCCGGTTCCACATGCCAAAGATCAGGATACAAAGGCATGCTGCGGCATGCTGTGGCATGCACACCATAGTATCCCATGCGGCAAAAGTTCATCGGATTTTCCCAGAGTTTTTGTGTCTTGCCTCATGTCCTGTTTGAGTTACTTGGGTCGTGGAGATCATTGAAAACCAGCATGGTTCCTGGTGTGCAAATTTGGGCCAAGCCTTTCGTCTGTAGTGTTTCTTAACCGCAAATGCCCAAGAAATCAGCTCAACCATCCTTTGTTGTCTCGATTGTCCCGGCTTCCAAACCAACCTGGAAGCGAACCGCTCCGGCCACCGTTGAGCTGGTTGAAGCTGTCGATTATTTCTTTGATATTAGTTCCATGGCGCAGCAAAACACATGAACCGCGATTCATTTTTCGTTAACCATAGACATGTTGAACCGTGGAAAAACACGAAAAAAACGTATTCCGTACTCTACTTCTTGAAGGGTTTGGCACGTACAGATGTCCGGAGATTTGCAGCATCCCTGATGATTTCACACTTGGGCATCAAAGATGAGAGAGTTTTGAAATGACAACATGCAGCGCTGAGCCGCCGGGTTTGCACTCAAGGACAATTTGACTCATTGCTGTTCTTTGCCAACCAATCTAGATTCTTATTTGTTTGCAGACTTGCTGAGGCAATCTGAGGCATCATGGAGAGCGTTTTTTTAGCCAAAGTTACTTCCCGAAGCCTCGTGATGTTTTGCCGTTGTGCCTTTGGCTAAGAGGTGCAAAGTCTGTGCAAATCGCAGCCCAGTGACATTGGCGACATCCAGTTCTGGGTCGGTCTCCCATGCGTGATGTGATGTGCTCGAGGCTGTCTTTGGTGACAAAGTGCCACTGGTTTGCTAACGTATGTGCCATTGCAAAATTTGGCACATAGAGTCATGAATAGTCATGTGAATAGTCATGTGAATAGTCATTAAAAGTCTAAAGAGTCCCAGCCCGTGACTTTCAGTCACCCATTCTCGTGCCTCAAGTGTCACGCCATTCTTCGCTCGTGGGGATCCATCCATAACAAGAAACGAAAACTGTTTGCTGCGCCACGTTTCATCGCCGCGTGCTGTGTGAAGCATCCGATTTTGCCGCTTCTCTCACATCCAAAGCCTGACCCGAACTCAAGCACGACTCTGAAGCGCATAGCAACACACAAAGACTGCGTGCACGAGCTCATGCATATGCCTTCCTCACCTGTCTTTTTCAACTTAATCGAGGTGCCAAACCCCGTTGAAATGAGATCTTTGGCACCGAAGCTGGATTGGAAGAACGTCCTGTGTGAGGCACTTTGAGCATTTTGCCACTAGTGCTCACGTACGCCACCTTTGCCCCAAAGGGCCAACATTTGAGCAGTCTGTCAGAGCGGAACTCAGGGGGTGACCCAAAAGAGTGTTCGTTTGAACATGAACTGAAGTGAGAGGATGAAAGGATGAACGCATTTGAAAGAACATTTGATCAATTTGATCTTGCCCGCAGAGGAGTCTGTTTCAATCATTTGCCTCACAAAAACAATCAAGTCCGCCAGTGCATTCACAGCCACTCTTGCAAGGCACAAGCTTCCTTCTGCAGAGTAGTTGGACTTGATGCAAGTTGATGGCCCAATCTTTACAGCGCCTGAGTCGAGTCATCTAAGCCAAAAACTTTGTCCTCAAGTGTGACAAGGTGCAACAGGTGGCATGTTGTCTGGGTTTGACGCTGCAGACAGAGGCTTTTGATGGGGACGACTGCAACGAGTGCAACGGGTTGAGTGGGTGCAACTGGCAGTCGTTCAAAGGTCCCAAGTGGCCCAAGCCTTCAACATCTTCAATTCTGCACCCAGTGCACTGTCGTTGAAGTCGTTGAAACGCAGATGGTGAAGACCGTAGCTCCACATCACCTGCACCGCCTGCACCTGCGACGCATCAAGACACTGATGTCAATCTGAGCAGCGCAAGCTCCACTGTGACTGTAGTGACTTGCAACTCAGTCGACCCGATGGAGTCGCTATGTCAATTTGAGATGCTCACTTCTGAAGAGCTTCGGTGGTTGCGGCTGCCGTCCAAACATTTTGATTCGCGATGGCTCTTCAAACATTTCTTGTGTGTTACTTCTACTTCAAGGGCACGCGCTCCTGCACAGGTGCGTTCAGTATTGTGGATGAAAGCAAATATGAGAGAAGGGAGGCCCGCAATGGATTTACTCAACAACTTATTCGTGCATCCTTCTTTATTTGCGTACCAAACATGTAGTAAAATCCGTTCAAAATGTCCTGAAAGACCTGTAAATCAAGTAAGGCTTCGAAGCGCAAACCTTGATCCCAGACAGTGCCGAAGCAGCCTCGCAACAAAAGGTCTGTGCTGCCGCTGTGTCAGACCTCTTCCTCGCAAAGTGCAGATGCGAAAGGCTCGGTACCAAGTCCGGGTCCAGCGCGTCCAGCACGTCCATCCAGTCTCAAAGCAAGCCGCGGCAACAACGTTCAGGCACTGTGCGCTCAGTATTGTGGATGAAAGCAAATATGAGAGAAGGGAGGCCCGCAATGGATTTACTCAACAACTTATTCGTGCATCCTTCTTTATTTGCGTACCAAACATGTAGTAAAATCCGTTCAAAATGTCCTGAAAGACCTGAAAAATAAAGTAAGGCTTCGAAGCGCAAACCTTGATCCCAGACAGTGCCGAAGCAGCCTCGCAACAAAAGGTCTGTGCTGCCGCTGTGTCAGACCTCTTCCTCGCAAAGTGCGGATGCGAAAGGCTCGGTACCAAGTCCGGGTCCAGCGCGTCCAGCACGTCCATCCAGTCTCAAAGCAAGCCGCGGCAACAACGTTCAGGCACTGAATCGCTTGAAGATAGCCTATAGATATCCTATAGTTCACCAATCCCTTCAACAGGTGAAGTTGCCTTTGAGGTAGGCGGTGTCAGCAGTCGATCCCGCCTCATGCCAGTTCTTCATCCGACGGTTCCAGCAAGCTGATGCAGTCAGGAAGATTTCGTTGGTGATGTGCAGGTTGCAATTGAAAAGGACATTTTCTATAGGATATCAAGTGATATCCAATTGTTTCAAGCATCTCAGATGACATTTTCTAAATATTTCAAGTGATATCCCATTGTTCCAAGCATCTCAGATGTAAAACTTCAGTCTTCGGCTCGGAACTTACCAGCAGTTTCCAACATGTAAGGAGAAATGCGATTTCCTCCTGTGAACCACTGACAATTTGATGGTTTATGAATTGACAAGAGGGGACATCCACTGATGAATAGGGACTATATTATGAGGATGTCCAGTAGCCACTGATGCCACTGCTGGGAGTTTCTTTTTGAGGGGGTAGACTTGGGCGATTTAATTGGCGATATGAATATGGACAAGAGTGCCGCCACAGAAATAGGCCAGACCTGAAAATATCTTGGGGCAACAAGATAGTCATTTGAACATAACAAAGTAATCCGAGCAAAGATTCAAGGAATCCAGGAAATTGCAAATCAAGCAAATCATATGAGGTGAAGAGCTCTTGCAGAAACTGTGAGCGGCTGCAGTGTTCTGTGAAGTACAGGGCTGCTACAAGAAGACGACGGAAAACGCTTGAGGCAAGCCGGGCAAAGCGAAATTTGACCGTGCGACAATACAGCATGATACAGCATGTACATCATGCGAGCAGACCGCCACCAAGCTCTCCTAAGTAGATAGTTGTTCACCCTGACTTGTAAACATCCGCCCCATATTTCATACTTACACGTTTCACGTTTGTTTGAGCCCTAGATTATAAATGTTTGAGCGCTAGATTCTCTTCATCGCGCTGCGTTTGCTGAACACCGACCCTGCCACCCGAGTTGGTTCTTGGGCAACAAAGCGATGCCGGCGATGCCATGCAGTATGAAATGTATGAAATGCACACCAGTTGGAATGGTGCACTTTGTGCTTTGGATTCTTTGACTTCGAAGGCAACGCAACAGGCGTTCGGAACATCCCGAGGCCAGGGGACCACAAACGAGCGCAAGATTGAAACTTTGACAACAACTTTGATAGCCTCGGTCCCGAAACAGGTGCGAAGCTGGTTTCTGGCAGGAAGTATCTGTGGCCAGCTCTAACAAGAGGAGTTGCCCGGTCATTTTCACTAGTTTCTTCAGACCACTCACTTGCTGCGACCTCATTCCATCCACAATTGCGTCGTGCAGAAAGTGTCATACCTTGATAGTTTAAACGTAAATACTAAAATCATACATAGACTCTTCAGGTCAATCGTGGTTGGCTCTAGCCCAAGATCACGTGGAATGGTCTGAAGTTGAGATGTCCTTGCAAGGAAGTGACAACGTTTCGTAGCTGACATTTGCATTGCTAGCCAAACAGCTTAATGGCTTGACTTTTTTGCGGCACGTGGAAGTGCACGCTTTTGCGGAGGTACCAGTCCAAGTTGCGAAGACCTTCCCTCGGCCAAAGGTGTTTGTAAAAGCTGCTGGGAAACAAAATGCTTCGCAGACTCGGGTGCCACTGGGAACTCCAAAGGTGTGAGGAGAAACAGGAGAAACATCATGGAAGTAAGCAGTTTGCGCTGTGGAATTGCTGCCTTTGTCCCAAGGCAACTGAGAAGGGTGCACGCCAGCACCCCTCTGATGCAAGTCATTACTTTTTGAACCAGAAAACATAAGCAAACCCCGACCTGAATACCTTGAGTCATTTGTCACTTGGGGCCCAAAATTACACCTTCAAAAATGTGGAAAAGTGTTTGCCAACCATAGTCCAAAGCAAGATTGACGGAGCAAGGTGGAAGATGGTAGGTCCTGGAGAAAGGAATGCTCAAATCATGGTGAGATGATATCAGATGAGGTGACTAATAGCTCTTGCCGAAAGTGCAGCAACTGTGAAGGCTTATAAAATCCCAAAATATTCTAATGTGTTGCTTGCATTTGAGCCAAGATCAAGAGATATCAAGAGATTGTGGCCAACATTTGGGCAAAAACCAGGGACTTAGATTCCTTCGGATTCCTTAGATGTACCATTTGCACAGACGATGAGTTGCCGGTTGGCCGATCACACTGACAGTGGCTCAATGGAGCCTTCGACCGATTTCGCTGCTAAGCACCACCTGCATCACTGCACCAATTCCTGTAGCGTTGTGAGTCTTGGAACCCCGAAGCTTTTCACAATGCACAGACCAAGTGCTCCATCTGCCCCTTGTATTAGCCTGGATTCTGCACTTCTTTTAGCATTCGCACCGAAGCCAATGCCCCACGCTTAAATGACTACAGGGCTGTACCATGTGTTTGTGGCTGGGAAACTCCACGTGTTTAGCCTTGAAAAGTGCCCAAACTTAGATCCCACCCTTCAGTTCCAAATCCTACAGCTTGGATGTGGGATTCAAAAACAACCATCCGTTCTTTCCATGGTTTCTAGTTATAAGCCCATGCATTCCAAGCAGACGCAAATGGCCAGCAAGAGGAATTCCGAACCCCAAAAGGCCCATTCTTCGTCACTGCAATGCTGCACAGTCTTTCCATTGAAGCCAATCTATAGATTGTTTTCGTTCCAAAGCCAGTGTTGCTGGATTGAACAGATTCAAAATGCTTTTTGCATCCTTTTGCCACCCATTTCGGGAACTTGCTTCGGCTTTGCAACTGCCTGGAGTGTGAAAAAAAGTGGAAAGAGCCGGCTGCAAGATGTGATCCCTTTCCTGACATTTCATACATTTTGTGTTAGGGATATGTGCCATCAGAATCCATTAGACTCATTAGACGTGTTCGGAGCTTGTCCCAGGTGAGCTATTTTATCCGATCATGGCGCAGTCAATATCAGTCGATTACTGGTGATGAGTTGTTTTTTCCATTTGACTTTGGGATCTGAAAAAGCTATGGTGCTGAAAGTTGAGTCGTGTTTGATGACGTGCGCAGAACTTCCTCAGGGTTACTGTGTCGTTGCTTTCTGCTCTTGCAGCCTTTTTGTCTAACTTTCGGCTTTAGCTGTGTGATTTGCTTCTTCAAATCCTCCCACAGTCTAACAAACAGAAAAGAGGTTGCTGATTGTTCGATGTAGTGCGACCCTGTAAATTTCCGCCTATTAGAGCCTCAAGGATAAAGCTAAATTGATCTAAATTGTTGGAACCACGAAACCTCTGCAATCTCATGGCCGAGAATAAATCTGATACACCAATTGCGAAATCAGTTCTCCATCTTCAGCCACAATGAAGTAGATGCAAAGGGGTTGAGATCAGTTTGAAGAAATGATATCAAACATTTTGTAAACATTCTATCAATTTCTATCAGATATTGCTATTGAATCTTTTGGCCTTTTGGGGATGTGGCAATAGTTCACCCCGAATTCCCGGACGGATGATCCGAATTGAGTGACGTGGCTGCAGAAGGCATTCCAGGGCATCAACGGGCCGAAAAAAGTGGGCTGATTCACCTTGAAAAAACGGGCCTCGAATTCTGTGGAATGATGGTGTTTAAAGGCTCTTTTCTGCGTTGCTTGACATTCCTCAAGAGTCTGTTGAGAAAACATTGGTGGGAAAAATTGAGACAGCCAGATGTCCTTAGCGGGGATGCTACCTGATTTGGCAACAATTGGCCAAAATTGAAGCAGATGAGAACACATTGAGGAGAAAAGAACAGTTTGAGAAATGAGGAGACATGGAAAACGAGACGCAATCAGGAAAAACAAGAAAACATGAGAGACAATAACAAGTTTTGGTTGGCTTGAATGAAACACATGAAGAAATGTCAGAAACATAGAACAAGAGAAACTTTTTTAAAGAACGAAACAATCAAATGAAAACCATGATAAACATTCCAAAGTGTCTTGTAGTCTTGTATTTTCTTTGTGAATTTGCGACGGTCATGGCCACTTGGATCACTCAGATCCCTTCGCCGGCGATTTTCCTCTGTTGATGGCCACCTGGAAATGAGAAACCTCCGATTCGTTTTTAAAGATGTGTAACATGTCGTGATCACCAGAGCCAACAGCTAATTCCGGCCTTGACGTCCTTTGGAGTTGTATTCCCAAAGGATGATCTCCTGCACTGCTACAAGGCATATACAGCAGATCATCACTGCCGCGCATGCAATTGGAGGAGTGGTGTTCCGTTAAGCCCAGGGTTAGATCAGGGTATGCGCTCTAGTCCCCACCATTTCTGTAGATTCTTGCATAAAATGGCTCTTGTCAGATGTTCATGTGAATTTTGACTGCGAAGGCTCGCGCAAAGTCTGTGACGCGACTTTTTCTTGATCTTGGGCCCCGGCATTTTCTCTGTAGATTCTCGCATGACGTGGCTCTTGTGACGTGCCCATGTGCATTTCGATTGTGCAGGCTCGCACAGAGTGTTTGGCTGGCTTTGGCTGGGCTTCACTTTCCGCGGCAGGCGCAGGAATTATTTCGTACGTCCTTGCATGATCTTGCGTGGATCCTTATGAGATGATCTTGTGGAGATCTAATTCCTCTCTACGAGGTCCTTGCATGATCCTGTACAGAGGTCCTTCACAGAAGATCTTGCATGAAAGGTGATTGGAGGCTTTCTTCTTTCACTTATCAAATGCCGTTTGCGTCATTTTTTTTAAGATGTAAGACTTCACGGATTTGCACTTTTTTCGTTGATTTCGAAGACCCCCATGCCATTGGGCACGGTAGGTGGAAACCATCGTTTTGCATTATTGATTAAGCATCTCAGGAAGCAGCTGTGTTTTGTAAGAGAAAGAAATTGGAGAGGATTGCTGCTCATGAGCAAATTGCGTGGCCCAATGCTTGAGGTTTTTCCACGCAACCACTCAAGCATACTCAAGCGTTCCGGAGAAAAGAGCAACATGCTGAATGATTTGGCAGGGCAAACCCTGTAGTGAGAGACTTCCAGATGTCAAGAAAGGCATGTACTCGGGTGACTGGTAGGAACCGCGCTGCGAAATCACGTTTTCTAAAAGTTTATTCAATGCCTCATTGGCCTTGATTGGTAATACGGTAATCCTGTTTTCATTACAAAAACATGCGCAGGTTTATAGATGCCGTTCTTTGTGGGCGCCTTTTCTTTGGGTTGTCGCCTTCGGCATTCTAAGAAAACATTTCTTAATCTATAGCATGCTTGTAAGCCCTGCGTTTTTGCAATATCATATCGCTGGGACATCTCAAAGGATTTCTGGATTCAGGTAGCGGCGCCGGTGGTGGTGGCGCAGCCACTGGACATTGAAGCGCAGGCCTTTGCTAAGGGCTTTTGAGGGCTTGTGTGGCTTCAAGCAGAAGGGCAAAGGTCATGAAAACCAAAAGAGAAGCACATGTGAATTGCTGCCATGCGGCAGGCCCAGTCAGCGATCTCGTGATTCGGAAATCTTGGATTTGTAGGCATAATTTCGCGTGGCAATTACATGTGCTCGTATGTCCCTTCTATCTCCGTCTCTATGTCTATCTCCATGCCTATCTCTTTTGACTATCTCTATCTTTCTCTATCTATCTTTCTCTATCTATCTTTCTCTATCTATCGATCTATCTATCTATCTGTCTATCGATCTATCTATCTGTCTATCGATCTATCTATCTGTCTATCGATCTATCTATCTATCGATCTATCTATCTGTCTATCTATCTGTCTATCGATCTATCTATCTATCGATCTATCTATCTGTCTATCTATCTGTCTATCGATCGATCTATCTATCGATCTATTTATCTGTCTATCTATCTGTCTATCTGTCTTTCTGTAAGGAAGCAGTGCCTCGCGACCTCCTTCTTAAAGGTGAAAGTTGGCAGCTCCAAAAGGAGCAATTCTGCGAGACTTGTTGTTCAAAAAATGAATGTTCACAGCATTTCACAGCTCCAAAAACGAAGCGATTCGACGAGAGTTCCTCAAAAAATCAAAGTTGATAACAGCAAAAAGCGCAGCGAGTCTGCGAGACTTCCTTCAAACATGAAAAGTTATGTCCTCGTACCAATGCGTTTCGCATTTTTTCCGTCCCATCTGTCCAAGGTACTGTGCCGGCCACGAATAAGTGAGGCCAGGTCATACGAATACGAAATGCTGCACCTGTCACGCAGAAATGTTCCGAGAATGAAATGCTTTTCACATTTTGGCTTCCAAACACGCTTCGCACCACGGCCGCGTGCGATTTTTGACCTCTCATCCATCCAGATAGCTCCGTTCCCGCCGCTTTAGCGAGCCTACTTTTTGACCCTTCGGAGCCTCAATTTTTATAGCGCTCTTTGAATTTTGTTCTGCTTCTACTTACTCTCCCTTCTCTGGCTCTTCCCACACCTGCTGCTGCATCTGTCGATAAGTCGGAAGTTTGGTTTGGTGTCTAGAATTCTTTTCGCCACTCAAAACTAAACAGCTCTACAGTACAGCGTTTTGCTGTTGATTTGTATGGCTCTGGTCATGTCGTTGTTGGTGCTTGGAACCTTGGTCCCTGGAGCCATGGGCTCCTGGAATTTCGAAACCATCAAGCCATTGAACCTTCAAGCCCAGAAACTTGGAACCTGCAAGCCCAGCTCGGAACCTTGCCCAGACACTGTGCAGCCTTGGAACGTTGGATTCTTCGAGCCATTGCTCAGGTGGTGGAGATTGAGAGCACGCTGCCTTGGAAGATTTTTGGCCCGGATCTCCCCCCTGGAGGTGATTGAGCACGATTCTACATACAATATCGCCTCCAGCCACTGATTGCAGCACTATAGG